GTCTGCCTTGTCGACGAAGGCGTCGAAGAAGGTCTCGGGGAGGCCCATGCCGAGCGCGATGGCGCGCATGACCTTGACGTGCAGGTCCTGGCCTCGGGCGAAGAAGTCCTGCATCACGCGCTTGAACGCCTTGCCTTCGTCGTCGAGATGGTCCGGCCAGCGGTTCGGCAGGCCCGGCACGCCGTCGCGCCCGATCTCCATGCTCTCCTTGAGATCCGGGTTTGTGCGCCGCAGCGCCGCGATGCTGGCCACGTCGCTCGACTGCGTGACTTTCTCCCGGCCGTAGACGACGTACCCGCGGTTGGCCTCGGGGGTCGTCCAGGCGAGGCTGTCCTTTTGGGCCTGAGGACGGGCGAAAAAGCGGGCAGACGAGGCAAAGACTTCGGATACGACAGAGGGGGGGATGCCGTGGTTCTTCAGGTAGAGGAAGCCGGAGGTCTTGAAGGCGTTGGTCATGGCGACGGCGACGGCGTGCTTATCGGAGGGTGATCCGGTGAGGAAAGGCTCGAAGTCGATGATCTAGGGGGTTAGACAGGCAAAAACAAGTGAGTAGAGCATGCACTTACGGGGATGGAGAGCTCGTCCTGCTCGACTGTCGTGGTCGATGGGTTTGCCATGATGGTGTACGACAGACGAAGTATACTGAATATCCTTGACAGAAGACGATAGACTATAGCAGAGCTACACAGGCACAGATTGACTGGACAGACTGAAGGACTATAAGAGGGGCGACCTATAAGCATGCAATAGCGATAGCGATAGCAATATCTATCAATGCGGGGAATCCATGCTCTCTCCTCCTCTTATCTTCATCCTTATCAGTGAGTGATAGACTCTCCCAGATAAGGCGATCAGCAAGCACATACATAACCCCATCTTAGGGGATGTATGTACTGTTTTTTCGTCTTGGCATTAGCAATTTCTATCTATCTATCTTATCTTTCTCTCTCTCTGACATGCCAGATACATGATACATGATACATGTGCATATGCACATATGTATGTGAATACTGCATGTAACCCTCCCCTCACAGGCACACTACCTACCTAACATATATGTACATACATACAGTACAGTACATACGAACTACATACGAACTACTCGATAAGCAACTAACCTAGGCAAACAGCGCATTGAATCAGCAATCCTATACAAATCCGCACCAGATTCAAATTTCAAATTGCATTAGACAACAAAAAAAAAAGCGAAAAGAGAATGTCCCACCCCATCGTTGACATCCACACCCACGTCTACCCATCCTCGTATCTGTCCATGCTTCGCGCGCGCACTAAAGTACCCTACGTCCACGACCCAGACCCGGACTCCTCCTCCTCCTCCTCCGGAGGACGAGCACAGCCCTTGCGTCTGATCATCCTCTCATCAGACGACGACCCGTCGATACCGCCGGCCCAGCGCGGACGTCCCGTCGACGCGTCCTACACGGACATAGCGGTGAAGCTGGAGTTTATGCGGCGGCACGGGATCAGCACGAGCGTGATCTCGCTCGCGAATCCGTGGCTGGACTTTGTCGAGCCGGAGGAGGCGCGGGGGTGGGCGGAGCGGATTAATAATGATCTTGAAGATACCTGTGCGCGAGTCAACAAGCAGCAGCAGGAAAAGAAGAACCCTGAGCAGGGCGAGGGGTTGTTAAAGAAACTGTTCTTCTTCGGCGTCCTCCCGCTCAGCGCGCCAGATGCCTCCATCGTCGCCGCAGAGATAGCGCGGCTCAAGACGCTGCCGCACATGCGCGGCGTCATCATGGGGACTTCGGGGCTGGGGCAAGGGCTAGACGACAGCGCGCTGGACCCCGTCTGGCAGGCGCTGCAGGACACGGACACGCTGCTGTTCCTGCACCCGCACTACGGGCTGCCCGACGAGGCGTTTGGTGGCGCGGACGTGACGGCGCGGTACGGGCATGTCCTGCCCCTGGCGCTGGGGTTCCCCGTCGAGACGACCATCGCCGTGACGCGGATGCTGCTGTCCGGCGTCTTCGACCGGTTCCCGCGGCTGAAGATCCTGCTGGCGCATTCCGGGGTACGTTGCCGTTCCTCGCGGGCAGGATCGAGAGTTGTATCGCGCACGAGCGCCGCTTCGTTGCTAATGGAGGGAATGTCCCCGGTCCGAGGCGCAGTGTGTGGGAGGTCTTGAGGACGAATATCTTCCTGGATGCGGTGGTGTATGGCGAGGCGGGGTTGAAGGCTGCTGTGCAGGCGGGTGGTTCTGACAGGATTCTATTCGGTAGGAAATCATTTTTGTTTTTAGTAAATAATGTCTATCTGACAGCGATAGGCACCGACCATCCCTTCTTCCCTCCGCTGGACGGCAAGGAAGATGAACCCTGGCTCAGTGTGACAACCAACTTCAAGGCAATTGAAGCATCGTTCGGGGAAGATAAAGATGCCGTCAGGGCTGTTCTGGGAGGAAACGCAGTTCGCATATTGAACCTGGAGTAGTGGTCTTTGTCTGAGTCATATATTTATTTGCATTGCATGGATAACACAGCTTGAAGAGACGACTGCTGGCATCGTGGTTAATAGTAAAAAGGATGCCAGATGAGGAAATAAACTATACTTGGAGATAAGCAGGGAATTCCCCATAAAGAATAAATTATACCCCTTCTGCTCTCTTCCTTTCTTTACTTCACCTCAGCAAGCATATCCCACCCAAGCAGTCGCCATACCTCCCGCGGAAACCAATCCAGCGCAGACTCCTCTGCAGCACGCGGCTGCGCAAGCGCCGCCTCAGGCAACAACCGGGGACGTTTGAGTCGCTCAACGAACGCAGGATGCTCCTCACCGAAAACGGCTTTCAGGAGCGTGCTCTGCAGCTTTCTTTTGGCGAAGCGGAGGAGCGGCCCGTTTGGTCCCTCTTCTTCGACGGTGCCATTATTATTTTTATTGTTGGCAGCATTGTTGTTGCTAGAAGCCGATTTCATGGATAAGGAATAGACAACGGCCATCGCCCGTTCCAGGAGCCAGGTTAAGTATTTTGCTTCCATCTCTGCTGCCCGCATTGCCGCGTCGTCCGTGTCTGCTTGCAAGAGACCCTGCGGCATGGGCAGCTTGTCCGGGGCGGCGCGCAGATCCGGTCGTAGAAGCAGGTCGCGGAATTCGAACACGCAGAGAATCTTCCCCACGCGGCTGAGGAGCACGAAGAGATACCCTTCCAGCAGGTCTCGATGAGTAGCGACAGAGTTGCTGCCGGACAGCAGCATCATCGCAGCAAGCAAGCGGACAATACCTTGGGAGACTTGGTCCTCGTCATCAGGCTTGGTGGTGGGTGTCCTTTCCTGTTTGTTGGACTTGGCGGCTTGCTTCTGCTTTTTGGCTTGCTTGCGTTGTGGAGAGTTCTCTTCTTCGAGTTTGGCTGTGGTTTTGCTTCGTTGCTCCAGAGCACGGAGGATGGTCTCGAACAGGGAAACCAAATGGTAGACAAGATGTCCTTCGTGTTTTCTTCCTTCTGCAGAGCTTGCTAGCTTGTTCAGCCCTTGGCAGAGGAGCTCGTAAGCAAGTTCAAGCGCGCAGAGTACAGATATCGGACTGGGATCCTGTTCTTTTAATGTGTCAGTCGCCTTGGACCGGCCTGACGCTTGTGTCTCGTGGATGGCCAGGACCGCTGACTCTGCTGCCTTGCACAGGTCGACTGCATTCAGGACGATAACCGAGTAGTTGGGTTTCTTTGCAAGGTCTGCTGGAGCGTATACAGCTGCCTCATAAACGGCGCAGCCCCTACACAACAGCATGAGACAAACACAAAGACCAAAAACAGATGATAGTCCATCTTCCTCGCAACTTACTCGCTTCCTCATATTTGACATCATGCATAAACTCATCCAGCTTCCCCCGCCCAGTTCCAGCCGTAGATGGCCTGGCCGAAGCAGCCGTCTTTGCCCGTTTCCTCGCCGCACCAGAAACACCCGGATCGCTGCTCCCCTTGCGCTTCTCTGGTCCTTGGAGTAGTTGCTCATCAGCGACTTCAGGCTTCAGCTTGACCAGGAGCGCCTCATTGCGCTGCTCCAGGTCATAGATCCGGTCGAGGAGCTTGCTCTGCGTGGCTTCGGACTTGGCGTACGCCTGCTTCCAGAACGCCACGCTGTCGAAGTACTTGTCTGGAGCGAGCATGCGCTCGGAGTTTCTGGCCCCTTTTTTGATGTGTGAGCGGATCTGAAGGATGTGTTCTGGCGATTATTGATGTTGGCGTTAGTTAATGGATGCAGTATCAGAGGCTTTTTGTTTCTGCACTCGCCTTTAATGTCCATGTTTGCGGGCTTCGATTTGGCGATCGCTAGGGCGAGCGCGAGCTGAGCTGGGGATGGAGCAGTGCACCCATTGCGAACTGTCCCAGTGGGATTCATCTTGTGATTGGGATGGAGTTTGAGAATTATCTGTCACAGACGCCGGGAAATTAGAATTCGAGAGGACAACTCGACACGTGCCCGTTGTTCCTCCCACGTGCCAGCAGCCCAGAAAGGATGCGATTGTGGAATGATCAGAAATCTTGATATATCGTGTCTAATACTTCATATCATTACATTCCTAGCGACATTAAGTAAAATCCCCCAGCTTCTCGCTAAAGGGGTATCTCTATAATATACAGATCAACAAGGCGCATCTGTCCACTGTGCTTCCGATTAATACATGACTTAATTCTCCCATCCAGGGGAGAAAGGAACAAAAAGAAACAAAGAAATAGTACTTTTCCTGAGGCAAGCAGCCATGCAATCGACTAATGTTTCACCAAGGCTGTAGACTAGTGTGCATCGTCACGTTGCGGAAGCATTAGCTGCAGCTGCAGCGTCTGCAGCCTCGTCCTCCTTCCGGAGTTGTTCCTCCAAAGCCCTGCGCTCCTTCTCGCGTTGGGCGCTTTTCAAACGCATCAGAGTCACCTCCTCCAGACTTGGAGTTGCCAAGGCAGGCTTTTCGTCCAGAAGTGGATGAAGACGGGCCCCTGTTTGCGGCGGCAGCAGGAGAAAACGAGGAGAAAGAAGGAGGCGCACGTCCGGCATTCTTCAAAGGAGTGCCACGGTCCTTGAGACTGGAGAAATCGAACGACGGCTTGCCATTCGTACTGGGAGTTGATGGCTTCGAGTCTGCGGTGTCTGCGGTGGCATGCGGTGATGGCGCAGGTGAGGGTGAATCGTGCATTCCCAGATCGGGCTCGTTGCCCGAGGCCCAAAAGACCGACTCGATAACGGCCAGTCGCCCTCGCCGGCTTTCTTCTTCTTCTCGCTGTCCAGCACGGCAGCGTGAGCACCCACGATCGATGTGAAAACTACGACTCCAGTGGCAACAATCTTCTTCTCCCGCTTGTCGCCAATGCGCAGGCGCTTGTCTTTGAGCATGAATGTGTTTTCGATTTTGCCAAATGGCGAGAAAAGCGGGATCAAGCTGTCCTTGTCGAGTTCCAACCCGCGTCCTTCGCGGACCCATCGCACCTTGACAGCCCTCTCGAGCTCCGGGACGCTTGTTCCTCCTTCCTTGGAACGGTCCACGCGTTGGCTGCTCCGGTCCTGAGCCTCCTGCTCCTGCTGCAGTCGTCGCTGTTCTTCCTCGGCCTCTCTCATCAGCCGTTCCTCGATCTCTCGCCGTCTCCTCCGGCTGTCCTCTGCGATGCGCTGGATCTCCCTCTCCAGCCTCTCCTCTGCGTCGGCATCCCCGGCCGCCATTCCTGTGGCCATCCACGGGCGCTTGACGCCACGCTGTGCAGCATCACCAGCCCTTTCCCGTGCCTCCAGCTCCTCTTTCATCTTCCGCTTTGCGGCATCCATCATCTCCGCCTCACGGCGCTTGC